ATTTTGGTATTACAAGAGTGATTGTACATGTGATAAGTAAATTCTTTTGTTTTCTGGAATCCAAGTTTTACTATTTGATATTTAATTCATTCTAACTGATTGTGTGTTTGTTGGTAGTAGTTTTTTCTTCTTACTATGGAATGCATATAAATTTGCTTCGATAATGGATTCTTGATGGTTATATTATATATTTTTTTTTTCATATATCATTAGTTGATTATGAAATCATGTATTTTTGCAAATATATTTTTGCAAGTAGTAGTGTTTTGATGTAAGTTATACTTTACACACTGTATTTGTTAACATTTATATTGATTATTAAGTTAAAAAAAACACTAAACAGCTCACTGGGGGTAAATCGGTCATTTTAACCAGTTTTGTCCAGTCCTATCATGTCTTACCAAACACTGAACAGCTGTCATGTTCTGTCATGTCCTGTCATGTCCTCTCCTGTTATGTCTGCATACCAAACGCACCCCAAGTGACATAGCTTCAGAAATTATATCATCGGAAAGTTAATGAGAATATGGGGTTGTTTAGCAAACACTTATCCGATAAGCGCTTATCGGTAAAATCTAACACTACCATTTACTTATCGTGTAAGACTTTAGTTCACCAAAATGGCATTGTAAGCAACAATTTATAGAGTAAGCGCTTACCATGGTAACAGCCGTCACACTCACTTACTGGGTAAGACTCTCGGTCCTTGACTCTCGGTCCTTGCCTAAATCTTACTAGGTAAGATTTTTGGTCCTTACCATATTCATCCGGTAAGGTAACGTGATTTGGTAAGTGGTCACAAGGGTATAAGCGTTTGGTGTATATGTCTCCACCGATTATTTGAAATAAAACTTGAGATAACGAGTGACGGCGTAATTTTGGATATGGCTTCTTCCGCGTATTTTCGACTCAGTTTTCTAGATCGACGGCTTGTTTCTTTCCTTCCACTTGAGCTTAAACTTGAAGGATGGAATACCAAGTCATTCTTGGAGATCATTTTTCTTCCTTTTGCATTTTTAATAATTCATAAAAATCAGAAGCTTTGGGTCCAAAATCATGAAAGTTCAACAAGTCAAAAAAGGAACCAAGTAGGCAAGCAGTGGGTCTGAAATTGTGGCCTACGCTTTACTGGTATAGTGCTGATCTCCCCGATAAATAGTGGCTGCAAACAAATGAAGTAAAATCTACCTACTCATGGCGGAACAAAGTTACAGAGATAAGAAAGATGTAAACTTTGGTGGCGGTGGTGAAACCACGAAAGCCGCCGAGGGTGTTAAAGAGGTAAAGAGCAGTGGTGGTGGTGGTTGGTTTTCCGGAGAGTATTTCAAAAACCTACCTTCTAAATGGAACACAAAAGTACATGATTTCAGTTTGGGTTCTTGGGATGGAATTGCTAGTCATGGTGGTGAAACATTTCATGGGTTATGGGCTGATGGCATTGAACTCGACTGGCAAACAATGATGCAACCAGTTTTTCATTCTGCTCGTGCTCGTACTGTAGCTAAAAGAATCGTGGACCTTTGTGGTGGTTCTGCCGTTCGGAGAGTACACCTGCACCGCCCTCTTAGCCGCCATGATGGCCGGGATGATTTGGAGACGAAGGAGAATGTTGACTTCGGGCGGGATACAAATAGGCTCGATTACTTCAGCGTCACTCCTTTTGACGTACATGCAAGCAATGAGCTCCTTGGAATTGCTGATTATGGTGGTGGTTTCAGGACTGGACAAGCGTCCGTCGGAAATTCTTCTTACAACGGACGCGGTGGCGGTGGCGGTGGTAGAAGTGGTGGTGACATGGTAGGGCCAAGACTGGATCAGAAAAGGGGAAGTACCGGTGGTGCATGTGGTGGAGACATGACTCAACAAGTGGCCGTCAGGATTTTTGCCAACAGTGACGGTGGCGGTGGTGAAATGGTGGTTCAAAGATTGCAGCAGGAAAGGGGTGATGCCGGTGGTGTTGATGGTTCTGAAAGGTGGATTGATGGGGAGGAAGGAGGACGTTTGGTGGTGGCAAGATGGTGGAACAATTGCTTGTTATTGTTGGCTTTGTGGAAATAATCTAAACCAAGATGTTGCAATTATTTTGTTGTGGATATCGAATGTTTTTTTGCTTCTTAAATAACAATTATTTTATAAAATTTTGGCGTGGGTCCGATTTAGAAAATCCATATCAAGTTAAGCATCGAGCTTTTAGGCTTAGATGATATCATGTTTTTTTGTGTAGCATAAGATAACGATCGTTTATTGGAACTAATCCAAGATCGATTTGGATCAAATCAAGTCAATTAACACTCACTAATGACAAGCTTTGTAGGACCGATCCGAGGACCGAAAACCATAAAATCACTTCCGATTACGATTATTTTCTCTTCAAGTTCAATTTTATTCTTTTATGCTGCTAGAGTTTATGTTCACGCAATTTTGAGTAAATTACAGATTTCGTTCCTATGGTTGTATGAAAACTATGGATTGGTCCCCTAAATGAAATAATTACATTTATGGTCATCGTGGTTTTGCTTAGGTCCCTTACCTTAACTTTATTAACTTAAGCTTCGTTAAGCTAGGGGTGTTTTGGTAATTATATATTTTTTAATTAAAATTTTAAATATTTTATGATTATTAATATCATATAATGGACCATGCACTACCCTCCCAGCCTCCATCATCTCCGGGAAGAACTCCGACACATATCCATCATCTTCGACAGAGAAATCAAAGAACATTCAAACTCCATCTCCACCATCAGAACAAGAAATCAAAGAATCCAAACACCATCATTTCCCTCAGATCTGTAGAGGTTCGGGAGAAAGAAGAAAATCGTGTCTTAAAAAAATTGGATCCAAAGTGTATATGGAAGAACATCATCTCCCTCGATCTGGAAACCATGGATACAGAGGCTTTTAGGTTATTCGATTATTCTAGAACTCATCTCCCTCGATCTTGCTTTTATAATTCTGGGGTTTTATTTTCGTTTTCTAGGATACATCTGTGTTGATTCGTTTGGAGCTCACCGGATAATGAGGGTGTTTGGGAGGGGGCTTCATCGGAGAAGCAGGAAAAGGCTTTTTTTGTTGGGGGTGTACATGGACGTTTTTCTTCACTGATGCTCAAAGAAGGAAGATTATTAATATCATTCAGATCCCTTAATTAGACATGATTTATTGGAGACGGTGGTGGCCAAAAAAGGGGAGGAGGACGGAGAATAACTTTCATCATCGTCAGTGCTTATATACGTGTACTCTTGACATCCAAACTTGTACAATAACTTTCTTTTAATAAAAATGATAAATTGACCATATTACCCCTGACTTAACAATGGAGTTAGATGTAGAAATCCAATCCGTAACAATAATGAAACCGCAATGATGATACGTGTAATTGTTTCGTCTGAAGGATCCAATTAAAATTTTCATATAACCACACTTCACTATTTTTTTTTCTCTCTCAATCGTCTAAACATTCTCATAATTTCAAGCTATACATACAGGGTCGTCGTTGGGTAGGGTGGGCGAAGGACCGGGACCGGCCAAACCGGCCCAGCCCGGCCCGGGACCGGTAAAAACCGGTTATAGGACCGAAATCTGGGACCGATTAGGGATTTGGGGTGTTTTGCGGGACCGGTTATGGACCAGTCCGGCCCAATTTTTTTAGAAAATGTAGCTATTTTTTTTAAATGTAGCCGTTAATTATAAAAAAAGTAGCCGTTTTTAGCCCTTTTTTGTATTTTTTGCTTTCTAAACACAATATATAAGTGTGTTGGTTGAGGGATTTACATACCAAGTTCTCGATTCGTAAAAAACGCAAAAAAAAAAAAAGTTCACAATTATCAGTTTCTCGCTATATTTTGTAAGACAATGTAATTTGAATTATAATAAAACGCATTTTTAAAGTGTATTTGAGTGATCCAATTACAAATTTTATAATGTATTAAAAATATATATCATTAAAAAAAATATTATTTTTTAATGACCGGGACCAGGACCAGCGACCCGTAACCGGTTACAATAAAGCTTGACCGGGCTCAACTTTTTCGACCGGGACTAAGACCGATTATGGCCAGTTATAAGAAATCTTGGAACCGATTGGGACCGGCCCGGCCCAGCCCAAACCGGCCATCACTACTCAGGTCTCACAAGAAATAGGGCCCAAATTTTTTTAGGATATAAAAGTTATACATTATTGACTCCTTGTTATCTAATATTAAGTGAATGACTCTTTTAAGTACTCTCCTATCTTTAAAACAAGAATAAGATCTCAAGTTAATTATAAGCAACATGGACTTTTAAATTCTAAGATTGATGATTTCAAAAAAGTTTGTTTTAACCGTAAAAGTTTAAAAGGGTGATGAAAAATATTAACTTGAAGTGAGATGAAAAACCAACCGATTTACATATAATATTGCTCCGAATAGTCAATATTGTGAACTAAAATGATATTAATCTATATATTAACGAATTTTTTGATGGTGAAACGAATTAATGATACTATGTAAAAAATAATATGGTACCATCGCTAACTAGCGACGGATTAGTGATATTTTTTAAATATATTTTTTTCGGATTTTTTAATAATTCATATATGAATCTTATGGGTCGTTTATCAAATACTTACCCGAGTAAGCGCTTACCAAATCACATTACATTATCGGATGAATATGGTAAGGACCAATAATCTTACCCGGTAAGAGCAAGATAAGGACCAAGAGTAAGTGAGGGCAACGACTCTTACCAAGGTAAGTGTTTACCGGGTAAATTGTTGCATACGATGTCATTTTGATGGATTAAAATCTTACTCGGTAAGTAAATAATAATGCTAATTTTTGCCGATAAACATTTATCGGGTAAGTGATTGGTAAACGGCCCTAGTTTTATTTTAAAAATTGTAGGCTTTATAACTCGATATTGATTACCAGCTCATTAATAATTTTAAGCAGAGCAAATTTTTTGGCACACATATATTGCTTTTGAGACTCGTCTGTCTCTATATTCCCGGTGTATTACATGAACAAATTTGTTGCTCCCTTCACAGAAAATCTTCTCTTTATCAATGGAGGATTTATCTCTTCAGTTCGATCACTTATGGGAATCCCTATCTCTCTCCGTTTTCTTGGAACATCTACAGCAACCCCATTTGCCTCATCGTCTATTCTTTCATCACCATTGCCAGAAGAAGTGTTTGATCCTGCTTCACACATAATCCAAGAAAAAGATCTTCTAAGAAAATCCCCAAATGGTTCTTTACGTGTATTAGAGCTAATTGATGATGGGTTATTGGAACCAGACGCTAAATTGTACAGTCAACTGCTTAACAGGCTTACCCAATTGGGAAAGATAAAGGAAGGCAAAATGGTGCATACCCATTTCATGAATTCAAAGTTTAAGCATTATGTCGTGATTCAAAATACGGTGCTCAATATGTACGCAAAATGTGATCGTTTGGATGATGCACGAGAGGTGTTTGATAAAATGCCTGTTAAAGATATGGTCACTTGGACTGCTCTGATTACCGGGTACTCTCAGAATGATAAACCAGTCGAAGCACTTGTTTTGTTTCCCCAAATGCTTAGGCTTGAATTGAAGCCAAATCACTTCACTTTTTCAAGTCTTTTGAAGGCTGCTGGAGCTAGAGCCGACGAAAAGGAAGGTGAGCAGATTCATGGCTATTGTTTGAAGTATGGATATGATTCCAATGTTTATGTGGGAAGTGCACTTGTGGACATGTATTGTAGGTATGAAAGAATGGAGGAAGCTCATTTTGTTTTTGATGGATTAGAACACAAAAATGAGGTTTCTTGGAATTCTCTGATTGCTGCTTTTGCCAGAAAGAATGAGGGAGATAAAGCCCTCCAACTTTTTCAGAAGATGCAAAGAGATGAATATAAACCAACTCATTTCACATATTCAAGTATTTTTAGTTCTTGTGCAAGCACCGGATCACTAGAGCAAGGAAAATGGATTCATGCCCACATGCTCAAATCTGGTCTTAAACTTATTGCGTTCATCGGTAACACCCTCCTTGATATGTATGGCAAATCAGGTAGCTTTGATGATGCTATAAAAGTTTTCGATAGATTAGCTAAGCCAGATGTGGTTTCGTGGAATTCTATGCTTACTGCATACGCACAACATGGACTTGGCATAAAAACCCTCCAACAATTTGAGAAAATGTTGAAAACTGGAATTGAACCAAATGCAGTAACTTTCCTCTGTGTTCTCACTGCTTGTAGCCATGGTGGACTCCTGGAAAAGGGACAACATTACTTTGAAATGATGAAGAAATTCAAGATCCAACCAGAAGTCTCTCATTATGTAACGATGGTTGATTTACTTGGCCGAGCCGGTCAATTTGATCGTGCTCAAAGTTTCATTAGAGAACTCCCAATTGAACCCACTGCAGCCATATGGGGAGCTTTACTTGGTGCTTGTAGGATGCATAAGAAAATGGAGTTGGGTGTGCATGCTGCTGAACGGGTGTTCGAACTCGATCCTTATGATTCAGGACCGCACATATTGCTATATAATATCTACGCTTCTGCTGGTAAGTGGAACGAGGCTTCAGAAGTTCGAAAATTCATGAAAGAAATTGGAGTAAAAAAGGAACCCGCTTGCAGTTGGGTGGAGATCAAGAACTCAATGCACATGTTTGTGGCAAATGACGAATCTCACCCTCAGAAAGATGCGATACATAAGATGTGGGGCGAGATTAGTGAAAGAATCAAGGAGATTGGATACGTTCCAGATACAAGCCATGTCCTTCTGTTTGTCAACCAGCAAGAAAGAGAAGCCAAGTTACAATATCACAGTGAAAAGCTCGCTTTGACGTTTGCGCTTCTGAAAACGCCAAAAGGGTCTACGATTAGGATCAAGAAGAACATCAGGGTCTGTGGAGATTGTCATTCGGCTTTCAAGTTTGTTTCCCAATTAATCGAGAGAGAGATTGTTTTAAGAGACACGAATCGGTTCCATCATTTCAGTCGTGGATCTTGTTCTTGTGGTGATTATTGGTAGCATAAATATGAACAGCTAAAGGTGATTTAGACTAGGTGAGTTCTAAATTTAACGGTAAATCTATAAACTTGATCAAATTAAGGAATTGTTACTCATGATATGAATACATGTCTGAATGTGATCTTTTCCCCCATATTATCTTGGTTTTTAGATTGCATAGACTGTTTGATTTCTACTAGAATGCTGACCTTACTATTACTATTATGCTTTATTGCTCAACTGAGAATAGCAAGCAACTATTACAAGATGTATATGTATATGTATATGAATTTGGGATGATGCAACAACAATTGAGTTTGGTGAGAATGGTGACAAAACTTCTGAGGTCTTTGGATGAGATTTTAAAAATAAATGGAACTTCTGTGGCATGGCTTCCCTGAAGTTCCGAACCTTCATCTACCTTCGCCACCTTCACTTTCCCCTACAGTCGTCTTCACCTACTTTCACATGCTTTCAATCACCTTCATACGCATGAATTAGATAGAGTTTCTATCACGGTAATATAAGTAGATATTGTAGAAATATGAGAAAGTAACCGATAGCTTGGTAGCTAGGGTTTTATTATGATTTATGTATGTATTTACAAGAGAAACATAAAGCCTATATATA